TTCCTACAAAAAAATTAAATATATATTATAAATGAATCTTAATATAACCTAAATATTTAAATTTGAACGCACTATTAATCTTTAAATTCGGGTAAAGACGTTACGATATCTCATCATTAATTCTTTAATTATTCCACTTTATTCTGAAATTTCTTCATCAAGGTGTATAATAAACATATATATATATATATAATAAACATAAAAAATTTACCTGAATTTAAAAATTTCCTAACGATAAAAAATGGACGTTTACATTTTTCTTGACGTTTCACATAATTAGCAGGAATACCGTATTCTACTGTATAGGTTATTTTTAATCCGAATTGCACTCGATATTTTATACAACTTATACATTTACATTTAATTGCGCCGAAATAGTATACACAAGAGTGTATATACACGCCGCCATTCCCAGATCCGAGGCACTAATCAGAAAAATAAATGTAAAACTTATATAGATTAATTAGAATTTTCATTATCTTTTGGACGAGGTATGTTTGCATTTTATCATGATTCTACAACGATCAGAATTATTTCATCAGACAAGAATCAGATTTCAAACAACAAGGTAATAATCTTGTTTCAACTTGTTATTTAATTACATTCATATTTATCTGTTGTGTAATTAGTCGCTTTAATGTAAATTCATATCTGTGTGTACTGCTTCCTAAAAACACATATATACTTGATACCAACTGCACGCGACCAAAAAATGAACTTCTTTATATATTAAATGATATACCTGTTTCAATTCAATTTGAGGATAACATGTTATTGTGAAATATTGAAAAAAATTTTAAGTAAAGAAATCGAATGTATAGGGATAAAAAGAGAATAAGATTCTTTTAACACTGGCAGTTATGCATAAACTTGTCTTTTTATCTTTAATCGATAAATGACGATCGTCTTGAATGAAAATTCGTTTAATGTGTACTATCAACGCACACTGGCCGGATTCCCACCACAATAGATTAAATCCTAGGGGGAGATATAATATGTTCATGAGAACCGTTTCGTCAGGTTCCCTTCCTTCGGACACAAATAATAATAAAAGTGAACTCTCGCGAATTCTCTAGTAAGTCTCAAGTGTCCGAACTTTTTTTTGAAATAATTTTATTGCAGCCTTTCAGTACTGTGCGCTTCTCCAGTTAAATAAAAACTGATCCACTGTATACAACACAAAGAGATTGCAACGTCTTGAATATTAACAATGCCCGTGAAGTCCTTTTTAAACGCAAATGTACTGAAGTGAACAACGTTATCGATCGATAATCGAATCATGCAATATTATTTATATTTTTATTATTCGATGTGATATCACGTGTTCTTGTATGTTTTCCACTATGCACTATACACAACATTGAACGATTGATATACGTAATATACCTCGTTCCTTACTCCCTCTTGTAAATAAATTAAGAACCCACTTTTGCTTTGTCTTGTTCCATACGATAATATCGATACCATTGACCACTCTAACACCGGCATCTATCGGGACCCCTTTAAAATCGCATTCTTTGTATTGACAGAAAAAAGCACATATGTAGGCGTTGCGTTCTCGTGGATCTTCTCGGGTATATGTATCATAGCTTCATGGAAGATATTGATGCTTTTTTCTCGGAAGGAATAGCCGATAGATTGACTGTAGAATGATGCCACAATAACAAGTACAGCTATTATATTACCAATGCTCGCAAATCACTGCGCTGACGTACAATCTTGCGCGAGATCGATCGATTTCGTGCGGTCGAAATATTTGTGTTGAAAAATAAAAATTTGTCTTTGTAAAAATATTTTCAATATACATACATTTTTTGATTCCGTTAAAGCACATGATGTTAAAATTTTCAAAGAAAAAAAAGAAGATTCAATTTCGAAATAATAAATTTATTTCTAAAACATAATACTGAAGTTATGTACAAATCGATCGATCTCTCGTTTCAAAAATCATTTCATGAAAAGCGCATGCGAAAAGTTTCGATCGTTTTAATGGAAACATCGAAAATCTCATTTCATCGATATATAGAGAATCGATATTTTTATTATTTGGAATTAATAGAGCATGTTTTCTTTTGTTTAATAAAATTGTTTCTCTTGAAAATACATGTATATATACTAAGTAAGTACATGTACATGCACAAAAGCGATGTTCTTCCGAGTGTACATTGAATCTGTGTATTACAATTGATTATTGCTCTTTTCTTAAAATAATAAATTTATCGGAAGTATATTATATTTTTATCATCTTATCACAGTTATTATTATTATTATTTTATTAATTTTATATATTGAAACTATTCGCTATGCATAATTGAACAATGATTGAGGGAACCGATGAAACGTTACGCAAGTATATGATCTATGAAAATGTTTAAAATCGAATGGTACACAAAAGAAGGTAGACAGCAGAGGAAGAAATGCTACTCTCATTTACAAAAACATTATATATATACTATTTAAATTGTTTTTCAAAGTGTACAAAAATAATATAGAATTTTCTTTTAATTTAGTACCAATAAGGAAGCATTGTTTTATTAGTATTTTGTCTTTTATTTTAGAAATTTTAGAAAAGAAAATAAAAATTTCTAAGAGAGTAGAAGATGAAAGGATATATAGGAATATAAAAGGACAATTATCGTTCAATGGTAAAAAGAAATATGACAAGTTAGCATATATGACAACATTCGCACGAATTCTTCATAATATATAATATAATATTAAATTCTCAATGTTTTAAATATTATTTAAAATTAAAAACATTTAATTACAAATTTGAAATAAAAATTGAAACGTAATTTATATATATATATAATACTTATATCATATCAAATTTATGCACAATTTTTTTTTTTAACTATAACAGTTTTCTACATATTAAAATCTTAATTATTTCCTTTAAGCGATACTAGATGTCACTCGAAGGAAATATTTCGAGTCCATTTGCAAAGCAAATATCACCGATCGACGATGATTCGAGATGATCGTATATACCATTTTTAAGAATGTACGTCAACGCAAAATTACGAAAAATTTTGCAAAAGTTTTTCTGAAAATTCGATAATTCTTACTTTAAATGGTTATGTCCTTTTCGTTATCGAAGAGGAATGAAGAAATCATGGGACATAACCCCATCACTTCGCAAAGGAGTAAAAACTTCTTCAATTTCTACATTATTCTTGTGCATTTTTTTAAGGAGCTTAACCTTCTCTTTCCTTGCACTTTAAAAAAAAAAAATTTCCTGTATCTCTGCACATATTTTTTAATGATTCGAAGTTGAAAAAGGATGTATTAATGATAGGAATGAGATTACAGAAATATAAGTGCAGTGAGGAGATTTTTGGATTTAGGAGAGACAGAAAGAGAGAAAGAGAAAGAGAAAGAGAAAGAGAGAGAGAGAGAGAGAGAGAGAAAGGGGGAATTGATTTTGTGATCTGTTTTTCTTAAAACATTAGTTTGGTCTCAGGGCCCAACGACTCGTGAAAAGTTATTGTATGTAATAATCAGGATGATCTGAATCCTTTTCAAACCTCTTCGCCTCTTCCTGCATGCTCTCCTTGATCTTGAGTATGGCCGCTGACTCAGTCTGATCCTGTGAATCAACCAACACCAGGCCGGTTACACGTAAGAGGTTAGGCAAGTTCACCATTAGGCGATATCTTGCCCATTTTGTTTTGGATTGATTTCAGCGTTTGAATCAGCGAACTGAGAAAATTTTCTTTTTATATAATAAAATATTTAAATTATCTTTGATTTTTTTTTTTAATATTCTTTGAAAATATGAATATAACGATGTAATAATAATATTTGATAATTTTTTCTAGATTATTGTCAATATAAAAAAATTGAATATAATTTATTAATCAAGATCATTATTTATTTATGTATTTAAAAAAACTGAATTTAATAACGCTAAAGATATTATCAAAAAAAATTTATGTGACGGAAAAAAACATATCGCAGTTCGCTGATCTCAAGTAAACTCTCGGAGAAAAAACGCTGACATGCTGCGCAAAGTGATTACGCAGCGCGGTGACGGTGCGTCGTGAAGGGGCTGGGCTTGTGAAACGCAAAACTTAAAGAGAGGATATATATGAAAGAACTAGGAAGAAACTTGGTTGATTTGGTTGGAAATCGCGAGTGAAGAAGAGAGAATTGTGGTTCCACATCTCCAGGGCGCTCTGACCCACAACACATGGACGTTATATAAAAAGCCCGTATCGAGCAAAAAAAAGCAAAATAAAAAAAATAAATAAGTAAATAAATAAATAAAAAAAATGGATATAACAAAAATTTTGCGCATTTAGTGTGCGCCGCCTGCCCCCCACTCACGCACACCTCACCGGGAAAACCAACAATGAAAAATTTTTCTTTAAAGATTAAGAAAAATTTGTATCAAAGAAACTCGACGTGTCATTCCTCACGGGTTCTTAAAATAATTTTTTTTTTTCATTCTGCTAATTATTCAAAGTTTTTTTTTTTCTTTTTTTTTTTTTTTTTTTTTTTTTTTTTTAAATCATTTGAATCGTTTCTCGATACGATCTCGCAATCCACCAATCGCTTTGCGCTCACGCATCCATGTGCTACAGGTCAGTACAGGCTAGTACTATATACAGCTATCAGATTTCACTGTTTTTTATACCTTGACAACGATTTCTGTTCAATAAAAAGATACTAAAAGTCGGACAGAGAAAAAGAAGAAAAAAAGAAATCGAATATTTGTCATTTCATTAAAATTGTTAAGTATATCACAAACATTGTGTTCCACAATATACAAGCATTCTTTTACTATGTTTTGCTTCATATTAGATACCTGAGAAGAAATTGATCGAAATTGCAACGAAACCGTGATTTATATAAATATACAATATATATATATATATACACAATATATATATATAATGTGTATGTGTATGTGTGTGTATATGTATGTGCTCCATGTTAGTTTCTGAGTTTATTGTTTCTAATTACTTAAGCAAGTATTGTCAATGTTAATATTAGTGGCAACTTGTATAACGTATGTAGATCATGTTGAAGCAACGTTAAAACAGATATTTCAATTGCACATATATTTGCTGTGAAAGCAACGAATGTTAACATTTTTTGATCGTGTTTGTTAGAACAAATACCGCACAGATTATGATTGGAAAAAAAAAAAAAAAGATAAAAGAAACGTGTA